ATTTGTAGGCCACTGGACATCCCCTTACAGAAGGGTCTCAGGGAGGAAATGAACCAATCAGTACAGATAGGAACTGGAAACACAGGGAATCCAGGGCCGATGATCCCTTCAGGCCCAGTGGTGTGAGTGGCGATACTGGGAGGGTAGAGAGAGGGTGAGTTGGAAAGGGCGAACCGATGACAAGGATCTACATATAACCTCCTTCCTGGGGGACAGACAACAGAAAAGTGGATAAAGGGAGACGTCGGACAGGGCAAGATATGACAAAATAATAATTTATAAATTATCAAGAGTTCATTAGCAGATGTTTTGAGAATGATGAGGGCAATGAATGTACAATGTATGTATTGTATTGTATGTACATTGTATTCTATTGTATGTACATACATACATGTACATATGTATTGTAATGTATTCTACAATGAATGTACAAATGTGCTAAAAAAGAGCCACAGAGTGGCAGAATAGATTTTTTTTAAAAGAATTATCATGGAGAGCAAATTTTTTGAGAATTATGAGGGTAACGAATGTACAAATGTGCTTTATACAATTGATGTATGTATGGATTATGATAAGAGTTGTATGAGCCCCCAATAAAAAGATTTAAATTTTTTTTTTGTTTTCTACTTGAGCCCTTGGTATCAGCTTCTCATTTTTTCCCTTCCCTTCCCAGCGCCCCTCACTCATGAACCCTTGATAATGTATAAATTGTTATTATTTTGTCATGTCTTACACTGTCCCATGTCTCCCCTCACCTACTTTTCTGTTGTCCATCCCCCAGGGAGGGGGTTATATGTAGATCCATGTAATTGGTTCCCCCTTTCTACCCCACCTTCCCTCCACCCTCCTGGTATCATATCACTACTCTCACCACTGGTCCTGAAGGGTTCATCTGTCCTGGATTCCCTGTGTTTCCAGTTGTTATCTGTACCAGGGTACATCCTCTGGTCTAGCCAAATTTGTAAAGGTAGAATTGGGATCATGATAGTGGGGGGAAGGAAGCATTTAGGAACTAGAGGAAAGTTGTATGTTTCATTGTTGCTAC